TTCTATGATTAGATATATTTGGACACACAAATACGTATCATCGTGTTACAATTGCCTACAACAGGGGCCCTCAAACTTTTTAAACAGGGGGCCAGTTCACTGTCCCTCAGACCATTGGAGGGCCAGACTATAGTTTAAAAAAAACTATGAACAAATTCCTATGCACACTGCACATATCTTATTTTGAAGTAAAAAAACAAACGGGCAAAAACACCCACATGTGGCCTGTGGGCCGTAGCTTGAGGATGCCTGGCCTATAATATTCAGTATAGTACCATGGTATACAGGTTTGTGGCCTCAGAAAAATAGGCTATATCATACATCCAAGCTGTGTAGTAAGCTATACCATCTAGGGTTGTGTAATAAGTACACTCTATGATGTTCACACAACAATGAAACTGCCTAAAAACACATTTCTCAGAAAGTATCCCCATTGTTAAGCAACACATGACTGCATTTGAAGAAATAATGGCCAAAATCTTTCCAAATGTGATGAAAAACATTAATCCTCACATTCAAGGAGCTCAAAAAACTCGAAGTAGGACAGACCCAAAGATATTGACACTAAAACACATTATATATCTATGATGAATTCATCAAGAATTATTTTATTTAGATGATGTATAATAATGGGAGGGAAAAAGCATTTGACAAAATTCAAGACCCTTTTATTATAAGATCACTTAACACAATAGGCATAGACAGGAGTTACCAAAAAATGATACAAGCCATATATGACAAACCCGCAGCCAACATCATACTAAATGAGGAAAAATTGAAAGCATTTCCACTTAAAACTGGAACCAGACAAGGTTGCCCACTATCACTACTTCTATTGAACATAGTCCTGGAAGTACTTGCTAGAGCAATTAAACAAGAGAGGGGAATTAAGGGGAACCAAATGTGGGCAGAAGAGGTCAAGCTATCACTCTTTGCTGATGATATGATCTTACATCTGGAAAACCCCAAGGATTCTACGAAGAGACTCCTGAATTGATAAATGAATTCAGTAAAGTCTTAGGATACAAAATCAATGCATACAAATCAGAGGCATTCATATACACTAATAACAGTCAAGCCAAAAATCAAATAAAAATGCAGCACCTTTTACTATAGCCTCAAAAAATTAAATATCTAGGAATATATTTAATGAAAGAGGTGAGACATATATGGGGAGAACTATGAAACACTAAGAAAAGAAATTGTAGATGTAAACAGATGGAAAAATCTACCTTGCTCATGGATTAGCACAATCAACATTGTTAAAATATCTATACTACCCAAAGTGATCTACAGAATTAATTCAATCCCTATCAGAGTATCATCATAATTCTTTACAGATCTAGAAAAAATAATTCTATGCTTTGTATGGAACCACAGAAGACCTCGTATGGCCTAAGAAATCTTAATCAAAAAGAACAAACTGGGAGTATCAGTCTACCAGACTCCAAGTTTTACTAAAAGGCTATAGTAACTAAAACAGCATGGTACCCCACACAACTGGCATAAAAACAGAGATATAGCTGTAGACCTTAAAACAGGACTGAGAACCCAGAAATGAAACCATCCACATATTGTCATCTAATCTTTGACAAAGCAGACAAAAATATACACTGGGGAAAAGAATCTCTTTTCAATAAATGGTGCTGGGAAAACTGGAACTACACACAGAAGATTGAAACTGGATCCCGACCTCTCACTCTTACAAAAATCAATTCATGATAGATAACAGACTTAAACCTAAGGCATGAAACCTTAAGAATCCTAGAAGAAAATGTAGGGAAGACTCTTTCAGACATTGGCCTAGGCAAAGAATTTATGAACAAGACCCCCAAAGCAATTACAGCAGCAACAAAAATAAATAAATGACACCTGATCAAGTTAAAAAGCTTCTGCACAGCCAAATAAACTATCATTAGAGTGAATAGACAGCCTGCAGAATGGGAAAAAATATTTGCTTTCTACACATCTGATAAAGGGCTGATAACAAGAATCTATGTAGAACTCAAAAAAAATCAACGAGAAAAAAATCAAACAATCCCATCGATAAATGGGCAAAGTACATGAGCAGAAACTTTTCAAAAGAAGACACAATAATGGCCAGCAAATATATAAAAAAATGCTCAACATATTTAGTCATTAGAAAAATGCAAATCAAAACCACAATGAGATATCACCTAACCCCAGTGAGAATGGCCTTTATCTAAAAATCCCAAAACAAAAAATGCTGGTGAGGATATGGAGAGATAAGAACACTCTTACATTGCTGGAGGGACTGCAAATTAGTACAACCTCTGTGGAAAAGAATTTGTAGATACCTTAAAGAGCTAGAATAGAAATACCATTTGATCCATAAATAGCACTACTAGGCATCTCCACAAAGGAACAAAAGACATTCTATAATAAAGACATCTGCACTCGAATGTTTATGGTAGCACAATTCACTATTGTTTATGGTAGCACAATTCACTATTGCAAGGATGTGGAAACAACCCAAGTGCCTGTCAATCCGTGAGTGGATTGATAAAATATGGTATATGTACACGATGGAATACTACTCAATTACAAAAAACAATGGTGATCTAACACCTCTTATATTATCCTGGTAGAGCTTGAGCCCATCCTCTGAAGTGAGGTATCACAAGAATGGAAGAATAAGCATCATATGTACTCGCCATCAAATTAGCAGTAACTGATCAACCTGAAGGTGCTCGCATGGTAGTAATATTCATTGGGGGTTGGGGGAGGGGGGTGGGTAAACTCACAACTAATGGACACGGTGACTATTGTATGGGGGAAAGGGCATGCCTCCAATCCTGGCTTGAGTGAGGCAAATCATTAACATGTAACCAAAATGTTTGTACCCCCATAATAACCTAAAATTTAAAAAATACCAACACCATTTTTTGCAGATCTAGAAAAATAATGCTACGCTTTGTATGGAACCAGAGAAAACCCCACATAGCAAAAGCAATTTTAAGCAAAAAGAATGAATTGGGTGGCATCAATTTATCAGACTTCAAGCAGGGCTACAGCAACTAAAACAGCATGGTACTGGCACAAGAACAGAGACATAGACCAATGGAACAGACCTGAGAACCGAGATATAAAACCATCGTCATATAGCCATCTAATCTTTGACAAAGCAGACAAAAAACATACACTTGGGGAAAAAAATCCTTATTCAATAAATCGTGCTGGGAAAATCAGATAGCCAAATGTAGAAAACTGAAACAGGATCCGCACCTCTCACCTCTCACAAAACTCAACTCATGGTAGATAAAAGACTTAAACCTAAGGCATGAAACTGTAAGAACTATAGAAAAAAATGTTCAAAAAACTCTTCTAGACATAGGACTAGGTAAAGAATTTATGAAGAAGACCCCAAAGGCAATCACAGCAACAGCAAAAATAAATAAATGGGACCTGATCAAATAAAAAAGCTTCTGCACAGCCAAGGAAACTATCACGAGAGCAAACAGACAACCTACAGAATGGGATATTCGATAAAGAGCTGGTAACTAGAGTCTGTATAGAACTCAGGAAAATTAGCAAGAAAAAAAAATCAAACAACCTATCAACAAGTGGGCAAGGGACATGAATAGACACTTTTCAAAGGAAGACTAATGGTCAAAAAACATGAAAAAATGCTCCAACATCTCTAATCATCAGGGAAATGCAAATCAAAACCATAATGAGATATCACTTATCTCCAGTGAGAATGGCCTTTATCAAAAAGTCCCAAAACAATAAATGTTGGCGTTGATGTGGAGAGATAGGAACACTCATACACTGCTCGTGGGGCTGCAAACTAGTAACATGGAGATACCTCAAAAAGAGCTACAAGTAGAACTACCATTGGATCCAGCAATCCCATTACTGGGCATCTGCCCAAAAGAACAAAAGACATTCTATAAAAAAGACATCTGCATTCGAATGTTTATAGCAGCACAATTCACAATTGCAAAGCTGTGGAAACAACCCAAGTGCCCATCAATACTTGAGTGGATTAATAAAAGGTGGTATATGGATAGCATGGTATTCTACTCAGCCATAAAAAACAATGGTGGTCTAGTACCACTTGTATTATCCTGGATAGAGCTGGAATCCATTCTAGTAAGTAAAGTATTACAAGAACGGAAAAACAAGCATCACATGTACTCACAATCAAATTGGTATTAGCTGATCAACACTCAAGTGTACATACAGTAATAACATTCATTGGGTGCTGGGCAGAAGAGAGGGGGGAGGAAACGATGGGTATATACACACCTAATGGGTGCAGTGTGCAGTGTTTGTGGGATGGGCACACTTGAAACTCTGACTCAGGTGGGGCAAAGGCAATATACGTAACCTAAACATTTGTATCCCCGTAATATGCTGAATTAAAAAATATTTTTAAAAAAGAATTGGAGAGAAAAGGCTAGTGAGAATAAAGTGAAGAAAAAAATTAAGGAGGAAAAAGTTAAGATATTTAGACAATTATTTATCACTTAAAGATCAGGGCTGTGGTACCTAGTATGGGAGAACATCTGGAAATAAATTTCAAGAAAGCTATACAAAGCATACACAGTGAAGAGCATTCTTATTTCAAGAATGTACTGACATTTAGAATGGTGGTCTCATATTGAGCCATTCCTGAACACTCGTCATAACATTTGTACACTACATAATTGAATTATTTGTTATTCATAATTATTCCCTTTGTGGATTTTCTGATATGGTGATTTGATATTTTCTTTTTAACCCCACTCTGATTTTCCCACAGTCTCTTGACATATATAGGTGAACCTCATTAAAAAATTCATAATATACTTCGAAACTCAACAGAAAAGACTTAAATCAACAGATGCTTGGGATTATTTGTACCACTACTTTTCTCCATTGTCATGGATAATGGAGAAATGATCATATATTGATTTTCAGACTCATTATTTAATTAATATACCAATAAAATATCCCAACATTATGTGTCCATGCATAAATTCATAAGTACTCACCATTGAGCTGTATCACATTTGCTAATGACTTCCAGGATCAACCATAATTCCCGAACTTTAGGAACTTGCATGCATCTATTTCAAATGGCAGTGTTTCTATGGAAGTCAGACTACAATTAGAGGACTATCACATTTCCATATTATCTTATCTTATACTCACTGCAGGTATACACTTTCCCTCTGCCCCCAATGCAGAATCCCCATACAAACTCATAAGGGACAACAAAGGAGAAGTGGAAATCAAACATAACTTCCCAAGGAAGGCCACAAACTTCCACCAGCAATAAAATTCATAGCTCAACAGTGTGCCATTCATGAATTTCATATCACAAGATGACAGCCTAAGAGAAGAGGGATGGAGAAAACTAGGGCCAGTTTTCCAGGACTTTACCAACACTTGCTGTTGGTTACAACATTTGGTAACTCCTAGAGCCCCACTCCCACATACAAACCTTAAGATTCTGTACACAACAGGGAGAGGTTTTGCAAGGGTTTACAATTACTTTAGAGCCACAATGAACATAAGGAATTCATAACCCAACCTTTGTTTCTATTCAAACACCAGCACTGTGGCAAAGTCTAAAAGAAATAACTTAATTTATTATATATAATGCCAAAATTGAAAAGGTTAATCACCATTAGTCAATGGAAATTAGGAGTGGAAAGGAAATTATTTATCATACAAATGAAAGAGCCTTGAAGTGAATCTCAAATACAAAACTACAAACACACACCCAGATGCTCTGGCATCTCTTCTGCACACCAAATGACTGTATGCCTCCTTCCCATGTACACTGCTCTCTCCTTAGATTCCTCACATTCACAGCTGCAGTGGCTGGGTTTGTAACAATATCCTCTTACACATAAATGGTTGATGAAAAGCCTAGGCAACCATCACAAATGCCATCCTCCACCCCACCTCTTGGCTCAGCCTATCTAAGCGAAAGGACCCAATCCATCCCCCAAACCCTGAAGTACTTCTTCAGACAACTTCTAGGCACTTCTTTCCAGATTTATGCCCTAAAGCTGACAGCCACCCCTGCTGCCCACTCCACAAGTAGGAATTGATGCCCATGAAGTCTGAGAATTGCTGGAGAGTCAGAGGAAAGACACAGAGAAACAAAAACTGTTCAAGCACCAGGTGACCCAATTGATCCTGCCAATTTCCCACATTTGCTCTCTCAGCAAATTCTCATGTTTGCCAAGCAAATTCCTATATATATTTACTCAGTTTCTAAAAAATAGCAGGAAAGGAATTAGGCCAGGGAATCGATGGTGGATTAAGTGCAGTGAAACTATTAGGTCATTAAATGTGAAATGTCCAGTTTAAAATCAAATGTTTAGTTTATTATATCTGAAATGAGAAGCAGTACAATTAATCAAAGTATGCACCTAAACTATCAACACAGTTTTGCCATCTTAAGAGCAGCTTGTTTATGCAGCAGCAAAGAAGCCTGGAGAGTGAATGGCAGTGAAATCATGAAAGGCATTTTCCACACCTTGTTGGGAATGGAATGTTTTTCCTTACAAGAAGTGGTTCAAAGCCTGGAAGAAGTGGTAGTCAGTAGGTGCAAGGTCTGGTGAATACCATGGATGACAGGGAGTTTCCAAGTCCAGCTTTTGTAGTTTCAGCAGAGCTGTTTTTGTGACATGTAGTAGAGTGTTGTCTTGCAAGAGGACTGGCCTGTCTCTGTTGACCGATCTTGGCTGCTTAATCACAAGCATCCTCATGATTTCATCCAATTGGTTGCCATAGACATCTGCTGTAATCAATTGATCAGGCTTCATGAAGCTGTAGTGGATAATACCAATGATAGACAAACAAACAGACATCATTAGCTTTTTTTTTTATGAATATTCGGTTTTGGACTGTGTTTGGGCACTTCATCTTCATCCAGCCATTGTGCCGAATGCTTGCAACTGTCAAAAAGAATCCATTTTTCATTAACATAACAATATGGTACAGAAATGGTTCGCCTTTATGTCACGACAGTAAACAAAGGCAAGCTTCGAGATTTCTCTTCCAGTGCTTCATGTGGTACCCATCTATCCAGCTTCTTTACCTTGCCAATTTGTTTCAAATGGCCCAATATTGTTGGAATAGTAACGTCAAACCTTGCTGCTAATTCACACATAAGTTGATAAGGATTTGCTTCCACTACAGTTTTCAGCTCATCATTATCCTTCTTGGTCTCAGGTCGCCCATGTGGCTCCTTTTAAAGATTAAAATCACCAGAACAGGGAACTTCTCAAACAATCAACATACTGTGCATTCATTAGCCACATCCTCCCCAAACACTTTGTTGATATTTTGAGCTGTCTGAGCTGCATTGGTTCCACGATAGAACTCCTATTCGAAAATAACATGAATTTTTTACTTATCCATGGTTTCACAAAAATTGTTTTAAAAAAATTTGACAGATAATCACAAGCCAAACCGAGCATTTCAAAGAATGAGGATGTACCTTCACAATAAAAATAAAACAATTCTGGCATTTGGAAATGCCAGATAGTTTCCTGCCTGAGCATCTTAAAGTGAATCTTGCCAGTCTACAGGCTCAACCACATACAGAGAGCTCTCCATTAGTTCTCCCATTCGGGGAAGAGCTTTATTAGGGGAAACAAACAGGGAGCTAGTTTTATTAGCTGCCTAGACCTTCATGCATACATATAAATTGAAACCTAAACTCACCAAACATTTGAAGGAAAAACAACAGCATCGGAGAGAGAAAAAATTGAACAAGTAGAACCTATCAACCAAATCTTAAAAAAAAAAAAAGTCGATGCTGAAAGATGAACCACATAGATACCCTTCTAGAAATGAATGACTTAATCTCTAATTGCTGGAAGAGCTGCCAGCAGAAAGCCTTAAGGGAAGTGCACTAGCTAGAGAGAGCCACTGCACCTAAGATCATGCTCCCTCCTGGTGTGGTCCACATCCAATGACAGATCAGCATGGAGATATGGGGTCCTGGCCTCCTTACCCCAACTTGGGGAAACACCAAAGGGTCATGCCTGAAGGATAGTTCTCTGGATGGCCATGAACTGACCCAGTTCTTCTCATTTCTTGCTTGTAGTACTCAAGAATCACTGTAGAATGTGTTTGGAATACAACATCCTGAGATGAGGGTTGCGGGGAGCTAGACAGCCTGGGCTCAGTATCAGTCCCTCATTAAAACAGGACATCCTTCAATGCTTTAGTCCAGTGGTCATGTGACCCTGGGATATAAAACCCAGGATAGGGTGCTTTCCAGGGTCCCTCAGCTGTGGTGCAAGTGGGGCATGTGCAGACAAGACTCCTTCCACCCCATGCAGCTTTCTGAGCTTTAGGGGATTTGCTCACAATGGATCCTAGGCTTCCGTTGCCCTGCTGCCTACCAGTAAGAATAATGTTGCTTCATGTAAAAAAAATTAAAAAATTATAAAATAAATAAAACAAGAAGTGTCAAAGTAAAATGTCAGAGATATCAACTGTCTAACTTAGTACTTAAGGAGATCAGACATTTCATACTTAAAAACCCAACACTCCATCTAGAAACCTTATTGGCTCTGCCCTTAGTTGTATGGCCTTGAGCTAGAAGGGGGGTAATAATCCAAGTCCCGCTTACATGTTGAGGTGTGGAGAGGATAACACAAGATAATGGATGTGAAAGTACCTTGAAAATTTTTAGCACTATAAAATTATAAGGTGTTTGTTATTTCTATTAGTGCTCCTGTCTGCAAAACTGAGAGGCAGAAATAAGCTGTAAGGGACAGGATGAGATATTTTAATTCTTAGGGCCAAAGAAGAACAGTAGTAAAGAATGCAATAGGATGGGAAAGCAACTTATTGGGCTTTGAAAATGAAAACCATAGTGAGATGGATAGATACCAACTACTAGCAACAGTTGTTAAAAGATTTTCTTTTGTTGAGGCATAGAAGTGGCAAAGACTAAATAGTCATGGGAACCAAAATTATAAAGGAAATATCATTGGATTTAAAAACTCCAACTCATCTCAATTTCAATATTGTTTCCCAAACCTTAGAACCCTATTTATTTATTTACTTACTTATTTTAATCCCTGTTAAAATCAGATTGAGAAATTAACATTCAAAGTATTTTAGGATCAGAATGGACCACAAATAAAGTATGAGTCAGTAAGGTAGTTGTTAAGTGTACATGTGGTTGCATGGTACACAAATACAAATCAGAAGGATAAATCCATCTTTTCAGAATACTGATTAAATTCTTACTGAGGTGGCACATGTAGTTCTGGGCTCCCAAAGGCCATAAAAAGAGAGCGTTAATAAGGACTGTGAAAGTGATAAAAACATATTAAAGGAATGAGTACATTGAGGTATACATTGTGTACATCCCAGAGACAGCCGAAGGATAGCTCAGAAAAAACATAGAAAGCAATTAGGGTTGTTTGGTGAACAGCCATAATCAAAGACCCACTGCTCTTGAGTCTACTTTAGTTTTCTTCTCTCTGGCTGCTTGTTTTGGGTCCTTCCTGATCCAATATCTCTCTACCTCCACCAAATCTGTCCTTAGTTTCTTCCTCCTCCCCACAGCTCACTACAACATGCATTCCAACTGAGGCTGTCCCACAAGCCTCAGTCCCCATCTTGGTTGCATTTCCAGTGACCCTGATCCTGTTCTAGGACTTTGATCCTAGGCCTAGATGTCTCTCTCAACCAACTACAGGAGAGGTATGTATTACAGGTGAGGAAGATATTCCTAACAGAGTGTAAGAGACAGACTTTCATGGAAAGTATTAAAACTGAATATCGTTATTAATTAGGTACAAGTTTATTATGTGAAGAAAGCACAAACTAGAAGAGAGTGGGAGCCAAGAAAGACTAAGAAAATCCAAACGCTCTATTTTAAAGCAGTTGGAAATTAACAACTGACCTGAAAAAATATTAAGGAACTCAGGCACAGATACTCTTTAGAGTGTTAGACAAAAGTAAAAAATTTTAAAGGGAAACCCCAATACTAAATAATGCAGGTGTGCCCTAAAATGCATTATGAATTATGTACATATTCTCAAACACATTTGTCATTCCTAGGTTAACTAGACATTTCAATCCTTTTCCAAAAATACTAACTAGA